ATTATAGACTTCGAGCACAGCGCGGGGGGCGGGGGGGAGGGAGGAGGGGGGCCGGATCTCCGCTCAACGAGAGCTGGAGACAGAAAACTCTATTCCCGCCGAGGCTACAGTCTCCTCACACCGCCCTCTGCCCTGACCCCAGTCGTCCCACCAAGCGAAGAAACCACACACAACAAAAACAATACTCTCTCTGTCCGTCCCTCCCCCGAAGCGAAGCCCCCAACGATCGCCGCTGCTCGAACCTTGTGCGGTTCCTACTCTCCAGCGCCCCAGAATCTCCTGGCATCCCTGGCAGTCAAACGACCTCTGGCCAGGACCCAGGTCAGGGGCCCATCTCTTTCCAGCCTCCATCATCTCTGCGTTCCCCCTTCCCTTTCCGTCAGCGCAGCCTCCTCACGTCCCAGCGCCCCCATCTTCCCCGCAGTCTATTTGATAGGAAACTGGGACAGAACCTACTTGTGGGGCGCAGGTTGGTAGTATTGGGGTCCGCTCCCGCATTCGAGGAGGTTGCGGACGAAGAAGGGGTCGAAGACGCCATCAGCTCGGTCGTCCTGGGGCCTCTGCTGTCCGGGGTCCTCGGCCAGTCGCGCGCAGGAACAGGCTGCAAAGAGAAGCGAGAGCAGTGCGGGGAGGGCTTCCGGGGTCCGGCGCGGGAGGCGACTGAGCAGCTGGGGGCGCGGACGCTCCCCCAGAAGTCTGGGCTTGGGACAGAGAGGCGGGAGGAAGGGCACCTAACCGGCTGGGTCGGGGTGCGCCGAGGGGAGGAGGAGACGTGCGCGCGATCTCTGGGACTCTGGCGCGGGCAACGTAGCCCAGGGCTGCTCTCCAGTCTGGCGGCGGAGCGAGGTGACCTGGAGTGCAGCGCAGAGACTAGGGGAGCCCAAGGCCAGTGCAAAACGCTGAGGTGCGGGGGATAGGGGTAGGAGGGCACGGGAGGCTCAATGTGCGATTTTCCAGCCGAGCCACGACCAGCCCCATTGGGCTCTCAGCAGCCTGAGGGCGGGCAGGCGGGGGGAGCGCGCACGGGGCGGGCACGTCTGGTTCGGTGTCTGGTTCCCGTTGTTGTGTCTGGCTAATTCCCTGGAAAGAAGGAGGGTAACTGCTCCGGGGACCGGGGACTTTGGTGAGACAAGGTGAGGGGAAAAAAGAGTCATATTTTTACATTCTCTCCCTGACCTGATCGGGGAAGAACTACAATCGCCTTGCACTCCAGACAGCAAGAAAGCAGCGAGCGGGTCGGAAACCTTGTCCCACCCCGCTTTGAGCCATCTGGAAGCCTAGGATGAGGCTCGGTCCGGGTTTCTCTGTTCCCTCTCCACCTAACTCTCTGAGGTCCCGGGATTTGTCTCTGTACAAAGCCGGAGATTGAGGGGGGCAAGAAAGGACATTACCGGAGAAACGAACTTGCCCTCTGCGCGCTGAAGGCGGCAGACTAGGATCGGTGCGCGACGCCCCTGTACTGCGCTCGGCGCTGGCGCGATGGCTACCGAAGGCCCCGGGACAGAGAGTGCGGGCCAATCTGGGTAGATCTAAGACTCTGCAGAGTAGCAGCCGCCGGCCACAGCCTTCACAAGCACCCTGGGACCCCACACCTAGCCCTGCGCGCGCCCTCAATACAGCAACGCAGACAGCCGGTAGACCGCCGCTTCTGGGGAAGTAACAGGTTACCGCTCCGAGTCGCGCCTTTTGGCTGCCGCTGCCCACGAGCCCTTCGGTGAGACCCGCGCTCACAGCCAGGAAGCGTTGGGGAAAATCGTTCTCTCTCCACTTCAGCGCAGGTCTCAGCTTCTGGACATCCCTAGGCGTGAATTTCGCTGGTGCGGGATTGGATGAGTGTGAGGGCGGGGGTCACTGCGCCGCGCACCAAGGGAGAGCCAGGAGTGGGGCTGGCGGGACGCGTTCTGCTCGGGAGGGTAGATGGCGGTCGCCGGGAGTGGGGGTTGACCAAGAAACCGTGGGTGAAGAGCACCCAGCTGAAGAGCTGAAGCTGGGCACTGGGAAGTCCAGGCGGCCGCGCGCTTACCCACCTGGGCTAGGCGACAGTAAGCCGGGCGCTCCCGCCGCTCTTCTGCGCAGCGCGCAGCGAACCGTTCGGCTCCGGTCCTGCCACAGGCGTGATCTTCCCGGCGTCACCTCCAGCTGCCTCCTAGCTCCCGCCAGCACCGTCCCGCACGCGAGCGCCAGGAGGAGAAGAGAGCAGTCGGGAGAGGCAGCTGCTAGGCTTTGGGGGAGGCGGGGGCGGAGTGGGGAGGCGGGGACCGGCTCGGCGGGGGAATCACGAGGCCGCTGCTTGCGGGGGCAGCTCGTCGGCAGAGCGGTGGGGCTCCTTTGCAGGTGCCTGATCGCCTCTGGAGCTTTAAAGGGCGATTATAAATCCAGATCACGGTTTGGGGCCCGGAAAAAAAAAAGGCCCTATGAGTAATCCAGGCTGTACTCAACGTGCTCTATTTTTTGAAACAGAGTGTCGGGTAAGACGATGGAAAAGATAATTTCTATGAAGAGTTCTGCCTTGTTGAGTGCTTCTTCTTCATCCCTCTCTCCCTTTCCCTTCCCCTCCCATACTTTTGAGAAGACTAGAGCAGTGGCTTTCTTTCCTCGCTGTCCTCCCGGATCTATGTGACCCGATGACTCTTTCTTGAGTAAAAGGGAGCTCTGGGGTTGCGTCCTCACTGGCTTTCTATTGAACCAGGATTGTCGTAAAAGCAAAGGAGGCAGAGATGAGGGGGGAACCCTCAGACCCCCGGAGAGACCCCCACTCCTTTCCCTTCAGTTTCCTCATCCAGCTCAGAGCCTCCCCAAAGTACCTCAACTGAGTAACTGCTACCCACTGCCATCCGCAGAGCAAAGGTCCCGTTTCCCATCCACTGTGCACTCCCTGCTTGCTTTGGTCCCCTTGGTAATGGGCAAAGAAGTCCTCCTGATTGATCACATCTGAAGGTTAATAACACGCACGAGCGCTGCTCTGAGACAAACGGGAAACCCGAGCCCCAGGGGGCGGGGGTGGGGGTGGGGAGCAGACAGTCACTCCCTGCCCTGCCCACTCTCCTCACTCCTCTTTCGATTTTGCGCTTTTAAAGGATTTTCCCTTTGCAATATTTAAACATATTTAATGAATTGCCGCGTTGGGAGAAGCCCCTCATAATAAAAAGGCGTTCGCGGAAAAATTTCCACCAGGGGGCGCCAGGCACTCAGAGACCGCGAGGCCCTGTGTTAGCGGGGTCTTTCCTCCCGGCGGGAGCTAACACCTGGAAGGGCTGTCTGGGCTCTGTTCTTCTCCTGCCTGGTCAAGCCATCCCTCAGCCACCCTTGTCGCTAATGTATGTTCTCCTCTTTCCAATTCCTCAATTTCCTTTTCTTTGGGGCAAAAAAAAAAAAAAAAAAAAAAAAAAAAAAAAGTTTATCTTTGTGTGTATCTGGATGGTATCGTGTAACCAGTGATTCCTTTATTCGTTTCACAGTGATTTTTCGCCTCCTGTTGGCGGTGCAGCAGGCAGGGGTTATTTATGGACAAGTCTGCGGCCTTGCTGGTCCAACCGAAGCCCACACCTTCTCTCTGAATAGTCTTGTCTCCTTTTACCACGACACTGTGGGGATGCAGAAAATCTTACTAATCACCGAAAATTCCATAATAGAGATCGAAGATTCTGCTCTGAGAAGATACAGTCCCATCAGTAAGAGGGTTCGCGCTCTGAGGTTTGAAATCACCGCGTTGCCCTTGATACTAAAGAAAATACTGTCGTCCTCTCTCCACCTTGCAATAAAAGCTCGGGCACTTTTTAAGGACACAAAAGCATCCTGAACGGGGGTGGGGAGGCGGGGTAGGGCAGTAACCTCAGCTCTGAGCTCCAGAGCTCCAGGCTGGGCAAGGTGGGCGTGCCCAATCAAAGCAGGAAACATCCCTTCAAAACCCGGCACCGCAACACACGAAAAGTGCGGTTTACTCTGAAATGAGGCTGGGAGTTCCACCCACGTCCCCTCCCAGAGCCTCCCTAAAGGAGATGTTGCACCAATCAGAGAGCCCAGTGCCGGTGCTAAATCATTGAGGACGCGCGGAGCAAGTCGACTGTCGGGAGGAGGCAACAAATCCCGATACCCTTCGGGGTCCGCTGTCTCAGAAAGATGTCGGCTCTCCCTGTCTCCTCAACCTTCTCCTAAGACCGGAGATTCTCCGGAAAGGAAGATTCGTTTACTTTCACCTGTGGCTTGAGACTCAGAAATTTCCAACCACTCCTTCTTCTGACCCCATTGTCCAAAACGTTCACCCCTAACGTTTTAGCTAAGGAAATTATCTCGTTGGAAAAAGAAATCTATAAGAGCAGGTATCACAAATTAAAGTTGAGTCCGTGCAATTGCGAGGACATCCCTCTCACTCCTTTATGGAGGGGGAGGGAATGAAGTCTTCTCCTTAACTTAAAAATGTTTAACTAGGGGCACCTGGGTGGCTCATTGGGTTAAGCATTTGACACTTGATTTCAGCTCAGGTCATGATCTCACAGTTCGTGAGTTCGACCCCCGCATGGGGGCTCTGTGCTGACAGAGCCTGCTTGGGATCCTATCTCTCCCTCTCGCTCTGCCCCTCCCCCACTTGCTCTCTGTATTGCTATCAAAATAAAAATAAACTTAAAAAATGTTTAACTAAATATTAATAATTAGTCATTAAACGAATATTTATTAATCATCTGCCTCGTGAGAGGCACTATTCTCAGGGAGTTTTACACTGTCCCAGCAACTTATATTATCTCTGTACTCGTGGAGTTGACATTCCAGGTAGGCAGGGAGAGTAACAGAAGGGCTCCCCCCCCGGCCCCCCCCCCCCACACCAAGTTGGGGGCTTCATGGTTTGGGTTAGTTGCCGATTATTCCCCATTCCAATCCAGACTCTTGGGCTCTACGAGGATGTTAAGGAACTAAGGGCCTGAAATTACAGCCAGTTCCAGCACACGAAGTTGGGAGGCAGGGCACGGCTCTTTCAGAACCAAGGACAGCGCACGCAGCTCGGTCCCTTAGGCCTCCCTTTGGTCGGCTTCAGTCACCAGCCCTTGGCCAACCCGCCCTCACTCACCCTGCCCGTCTCCCTCCCTGCTGTTAACTGCTGTGTTTTTCCCTTCTTGGAGTGGGGGGTGGGAGAATAGTGTATTTCGCCCTCTCCTTCTCGGTAAGAATTTGTAGTGAGTGTGGTTGTGGTTGTCTTTTGGCTCTTTAGAACATTTGGAATCCGTATTTTTGTTTTGCGCTATTCTTTTTATCTTTTATTACTCCCGGTATGGGTGGTGGGGAGATGCTTTGGACAATGAGGGTGGAAAATAGATATTCTCTACAGGGACTCGAACCGGTGCTGAGAGGTGGTCCGGAAGGGAGTGGTGTCCGCCCAGCTGTTTCGTTTGCATTTGATGTAAGGTTTAGAGCTTTGAAGAAAGGGGAACACTGCGCCCAGAGGCAGACGGAGTGGGCGAGTGCGAGTCCTCGGTTCTCTCCGGGGTGTTAGGGGTTTCCGAGCCTGCAGCCTCGGCTACTTGATCCTGTCCACTCAGGACAACCTTCCTTTAGGTCAGCGATGGCTGGAACTTGGGAACACGACCCTCCGCCCACAATGCCCTTTCCCAGGGATGTTGAAAGATATTCCTGTTGGATTTGGAGCAGAGCCTTTCAGCAAAAGAAAAAAGGGAAGGGTGGGAGGAGAGTAAGGCGTGGAAGGGGCGCCTAAACAGGCTGCGGGTGAGATTTTTATGCGTAAAATATGGTCCACGTCAAGGTGAGTAAATAAGAAACGTCAATCTTTTTTTTTTTTTTTTTGACGCATTTAGCATTCTTAGCCTCTAGGAAAGGTAATTTAGAGTCACAGTGTTGGTTCATTTCAGCTGGCTCTTTAGGTCTATTTTAAGTATCTAATTTATGACCAAAAAAGAGGGGAAAAAAATGGCAGTGCTCACCGTTTAAACGTCTGTCTCCCGAGACCAGGGCTGTGAAAAGCGTTGTTAACCTTACACTCGGCTTTTCTTAAGTCGAAGCTAAAAGTCTATTCGGTGTGTTTGTGTACTTTAAAGATAGTTCCCAAATCATTCTGTACTTTCTTTGGGAACCATAGCTAAATAGACACCCCCGCCTCAAAAAAAACCCCCACGCCATACTCACTCCTGGGAGGCAGGAAAGGGTTAAAAGGGTGGTGAGGAAGGCAGAATTTCAGCCACAACGCTGGAAAGGACTCCGGAAATTACAGTCTTTTCTCCTATCGGAGAGCGCTGAGTTCCTCAGATAATCGTCAAATGGTCCCTTCCTCCTTGGTATTCAAAAGATGAAATATTCTAATGTTAAAGAAATTAATCAAGGAGGACAGAGTGATTTGTATTTGGGCAAATCGTGTGTAAATCTTAAACTCAATTCCTGCTATTCCAAACACGTAGACAGAAGGACCAGCAGGTGGCGATAGATAACAATTTCTGAGAGGAAACAACGGCTCCACAAGAAAGCAGTTCTTCAAGGAAAACTGCAGGCCCTTCCCACTTCCCACTCATACCCTGCCATATTTCACAAAGCAGAGCTGTTTAAAAGGCTGAGAGATGCTGCCAGAAGTGGCCTGAAACACCTAGGATCTCTATCCCTTTGGTGAAAGAGAAGGAGATGCGAATATCCATTTCTTTCCCATGGAGCTTCACCCCAAAGGTAGCCTGAGGAAAGGCACTCTTTGATATTAGGCAAGGTATTTCACTGCAAAAGTGGAGACCAGGGAAATAACAGATCTGGATTGCAATTCTGATGGAGAGCTCTTAAGATGTATTCACGTTTTCTGCTCTTCTCTCGACAAAAACTAGGACAAATCAGTCCTTTCCCAAAGGAGTGGGACGGAAGAAAGTTGACTTTCCAAATGAGATGCTTTGGTGAAACAGTATGGAATGGTAGAGTGGGTACAGTAATATTTTATCTATTTCAGTGTAAAAGCCCTTAACTATTTAAAATAACAGGTATTAGCCTTTATTTTTTTTAGAGGTATGTGCCTGGGACTGTTGTTTATGAGAAGGCTCTGGAAGGTTCTGATGCAGTAATGGAGAACCTGATCATTTAAACTTGTTT